TATTCGTGCAATGCTTTCCCGTACATGAAGTTTAGCTAGCTAGGGTTAAGACTTGAAGTGAGGCAGTATTTCAGGAGACGTTTCTTAACGAGTATACGAACGCCTTGAAAACTTGGCTGAGAGTGTCTCATCCAAGTGCTGAGTCCATCATCTCCTCACCATTCACATGTGACAACTCAACCAAATCAGCATTCATACATTCCCAAACAGAGATGAACTCATCATTCCTTTTCTCCCCCTTTTTTTCTCCTCGTACATTTTTCCAGGATATCACATATAAGAAAACGACCAAAAAGAAAAAAAAACCTCCTTAATATACATGTAACACAAAACCTTGCTCATCTCACATTTCACCATCCCCAACGTCGTCATCCAGCATCACCCCCCTAAAATACTTTTCCCTCTTCTCTCTTTCCTTCTTCTCTCCTTTTCTAAAAGGGTTACAGCCACACCTTTCTCAAAGAATGTAACGCTACAGGCGCTTGTGACGATATACCAAGTACGTGCATGCGTCTAAGCTAAGCGCCCCAGAATGCAACACAAATACCTTGCCGGCATGCCGCCTTGGGTAGCTAGATGTGGCATACTCGTATGTGCACTGCATTTGGAGATAACAGCTCATATGGTCATTTGACTTGGAATCTTACCCAAATAGTGGCTTCCTGGCGTTGATCGAATCCTTGTCCTCAGCTGGGCACCTCTGATAGCCGTGTTGTTGAGCCGCGGCGAGCTGACAATGATAATGATGACGATCACGAAACGTGAGAGAAACAATGATCCTTGCATGTGAAACGCGGTGACTTCACCTGCTTAATCCCAATCACACAAGTGACTCCAGCCCTCATTGGGTCTCGGCATGTCACGGCGAGATTCTTGCTAAAAGAGGCGTCCGGCAACTTAAGCGGAATATTCTCTCCGTCACGCTAGAGAGACTATTTATACGGCAAAGGATCAGGCCAATTTACTTGATGTTCGCTTATATGCAGTACACAGCCAACATGCGTGTGAAAGACCGTTCGAGAATCCAACCTGATGGCGGATATTTGGAAAGCGCTGCCGCAGAAGACATATCACATAGACCAAACCCAATCATGTTTACAAGATTCGAAATAGATCATGTTTACCCTTACCGCTACTATAAACCTTGGCAGCTCAAGCCCAACTTTGAAACGTCGGTAATGGTCAGGTAGGACTTGGCGTTTGGAAAATTTAGTGAACAACGATATATTCAAAAGGCAACAGGATGAATAAGAGAATCATTGATCCCGAAATGTAGGAAGCGCGGGTGGCAGTGCCCTTGCGAGGGTCATCCCAGCTTTAAACGCATCATGCACGAAGTTCTTGGGCCAATGGGAGCCGTACCTCGCCATTCTGCTTTGATGGCAGCCGCCGAGTGTGGCTGTATATTGCCACTCATTGATATGGCTGCTTTTCTTTTGGTCATTTATGACAGTATATCGGCAGTCGGAACCCTCTCCTTGGATCAGCCCGTCTAATAGGTACAGGAGCACGGTATGATTCGTTCCCGAGAGGTAAGTCGAGTAGCAACAATGTACACTCATGCTAAAGGTGTGCCATGTCTCATTTGTCGCCAGAAGACTTGGCCTGGTCATCGAGAATCTCCTTGTCCAATAGCCCTTCTGGTAGTCCCCTTCATGGCCTTGAGAAATATTCTAATGGTAAATGGGAGCGCTGCTAAGTAGGTGGCCAGCATCAATAGTATCCAGTAGTTAACCTCCATTCAACAGGCTGTTGCGAAGGGGCTTTCTTGAGACAGAGATGGCGCAAGGACATCTGAGTTTGGCTAGTACGTGCTGGGTAGTTGATCGACAGCGTAGCATGTCTGCCAATGAGGGCGTGATCCAGGTGTCCGGTGGACTTTAGCTTTTCCAGTGTCTCGATCTCTTTTATTGTCAGCCTCATGTCTCAGTTGGCAGCCTAGATGAAGCAGAGTATGCCACCTCGAGTGGCTTGAAGCAGCTGGAGCCGGATGGGATACGCGGGCGCGGCGTGGCTTGAAGCTTGTGACTGAAACTCTTCGGCCAGGCGGACCAGTCCGAGCCCTCTTTTTTTTTTTCACTCACTCATCCCGCAGGCAGTTATTTGCACGGGACTGCGTCCCAGCCAGGAAATGGATTGATTTCCCGTATAAGCGAGTCATGTTCTGCACAGGTGACACATCATTCTGCTGCCATGAGATCAAGTGGGGGATGGGAGGTTTGATAGACAGTCGACCAACTCGACCAACACCTAGTGCCTCCCGGGGACGATGCATATTGCCCCGTGCGGCAGTTGAGAGAATCCACCAGCCATGTGCCGTCGGCCGTTGGAGGCGTTGCGACCGATGCCGCGCCAATAGTCGCCGTATAGCTCCTTTTGACGGACGGTAGCATCGCCGCACAGGTCGGACATGTGTCTCTGGACGAGCTTCTATGCGGCTCTCGCGCGGAGTAGGCTCTGTACTCCGTGGATGGCAATCTATGCCGGTTGTTTCTGTCGGGCAGTTTGCAAATCCCCTAGCGCCTCGTTTGGCCTTTGCATCTTGGAATCGACACCAGTACAGCATTTGATGACGGTTACCCTGGATAAGCAGGAATCCAAGTAGCAAGGTGCTTGTTTGTATGATGTATTGAACGTTATATCATGTCGTCAGAGTTGGGGGTATCGATCGATTCAGCTGTGCTGTCGAGTCGACCATGCGGTCTAGAGAATATGGCCGCTTAGGCAAATGTTGACTTGGCTCTTCGCAGACCTACGGAAAAGCATTCTGCCTCGTAGCTCCGACCTGCAGCACCCATGGAAACAAGACTCAGTGTTGCAACCTAACGCTGGCAGAGCAAGATCGGCCAACTTGAACAATAAGCGGCTGGCCACCCCGTCGGAGTTTCTGATACTACCCTCTGGCTGAAATACCACCTCCAACCACCCGGTCGCAGCAGGGCATCGCATGTACTCGGGTCCAAATAGAGGCTAGATATGCAAATCTCTGCACATCGTAAAGTGCAGACAGGTGCCTTGCAGAAACCATGGTTCGACAAGCGACCCCTGGCTCGGTGGCCCTGGTCCCACGACCAATGCGACCTTGTTTCTCTCCTCTGGCGAATGGCGTTGCATGAAACGTGCCAGGGCCAGTTGAATCATTGACTTCGGCTTGTTTCCCCCCAGTTCCGCCGGCGTCTCAGTGACTTGGAAAAAGGAAATGGGAACAAGGCACAGGAGGAAGGGAGACGACACAAAAGCCATGTGGCAAAGTGCCGTGGACTAATTAATCAATCGTTTGAGAATGACGCCAGCCACCGTGATTCAGATCCATCCGTGTGGAATGATGGCAACTTCCCCCGCAGTTGCAAATCGGCTGGAGCATGCTGCCTTGCTCGTCTTCTATCTGTATGGAACATTCGTATGTGCAACAGGAAAGTCTGTCACCGCTCTTCCGCCTGAACAAGTCGTGCTAGTCGTATAGAACCTACGACATACGCCTACCAATACCTAGCAGTGGCTTGATAAGAGGGCGCAGCCCGGGCTGAGGGTTGGTAATAGACGCCTCTCGTCGGCTGGCGCGCCGGGGAAGCATCCTAAAGCCGCTTCGCGCGCGCTGCCCGAGAATCGATTCGTTTCCCGCCCGCGATGCTGCTAATGCTGCTTGCGAAGAAGTCTCCGGCCCCCAACGCCGACCTGCACGCTCGCTGGCTCATTAGCATGGCGGGGATATATCCGGATGGCGTAGCGAATTTGGACGAGGATGCACAGTAGCTCAGCGACTTCCAGACGCCAGGAAACCCGGCCTATGATGCTATGCCTGATTCAGCCGCGCTTCAGGTGTCTTTTTGCTTCAAAATGTTTCCAGTCTTTTCGCCATTGCTGCACGTGTATGCAGAGATGGAGCACTACTGGCATTGGCTACCACGGCCCAGGGACGAAGTGGATGAGTGAGCAAAAGGCCACCTTGCCCAGGCTGCTCGTAACCACGATTCCTGTGAAATTGGCGGATCCAGGGCGGTGGGATGAATAATCTCAGGTCGCAGATTGCCCATGCTCCTTTCGTCTCCTCGTGCAGTCGATTCCATATAGCCGGGTGTGGAGGACAAAGAGGCAAACCGGACATTGCCCAACCCTAGCTTCCCACCACTATGGGACTCGTACCTTGGGACGAACCCAGCAATCACAACATGCCTGCCCGTATACTACTAGGTAGTAGTAGTACTCCGTACTCGTAGTACGACTAGGTTCTTGGAGACTCGAAGATGCAACTTTGCTGGGACATGTGTGATGAACCCCCCACCGTGCATGTTAGCTGCATGCATCGGTTTGATGAGCACTTCGTACTGACAGGCTGAGGTGAGGCCTCGTCTGGTGGCGGCCCAGGTAACCTACCAGCTGAGCCTCGACCCTTTTCCCAGGCCAATTCCTGGCTCATAAAGAACCAAAACTGTCCTTTTCATGCACCTACGAGGAGGAGGCAAAGACATGACAGCAGCCGCAGAGGGGGCGCCGGTTTGATGACAAGGCCGTTATCGTTCATGACTCAGCGTCCTTGATGCAATTCGACCGGTCGAAAACGAGCCAAAGCTAGCGAATCGGTCGGCCTCGAGCACTGCGGACTATGTGCTTGGCGACGACCCCGTACGAAATACTGGATTGGGAGAAAAGTTGCGTCCCTTTGCATCTCGCTGCCTGGGCCTGGGAAAAAGGCGCAGACGATGGCGATTAGGCTTGTGAGACATGCAGCCCCGAGCATCTGGGCCCATGGACACGATCTCAGGACTTTGCCCGAGGACTGGGTCGGGAAGGAGGTTAATCCAAGTAGAGATCCCTTGTCTTCTGGCTAAAAGAGGTCAATACCCTTGTGCTCCCACGCGTCAGTAGGTCGATTCTTACTTGTAGTACTCGTACGGAGTACTCGCGTCAAGTTACCCGATGTTGATGTGCCATTCGTACCGTACGCCGAAATATCTGTACAGTATGTCCAGACCAGTGAAAGATTCTGCTGGTTGCTGCGGCTAGGGGACCGTCAGGACAGGTTCGGGCGCTGTCATCCATGTCATGGCCAGCTCGTCGGCCCCGAAGATGGTTGGGAGCTTCGCACCGCGGGCCGCCTCAGTGGGCGGTGCTCCGCAATCCCTGGTGCTTTGGTGAATGCAGAAAACATGCATGTCCCAATAAATGGCCTGCTGGGCCGGCTCTCGTCCCCCCATAGGCCACCGATGCTGGCATATCCACCAGCAGCCACGCGAGGCTAATCTAGCGGTTTGAGACGCGAGTTTGAAGCTATGCCGGAAGGCATTCCGTAAGGCTTGGGCGGGCTCATCGTGGAGTAGGCCTGCGATATTTTCTTCTGCAACGGCGGCGCCGGCATACACATTCGTGATCGCGGCAATGGAGAGATGGAATGAAAAGCGGAGGAGGGGAGGAGAGGCCGCAGTGACGATGCAACCTGAACGGGTGCGAGACAGTCCCGTGACGTGCACCAAACAATTCCCAACCAAGGTCCGGTGAGTAAACGTATCAATGTGGTTAGCAGAGTAGCACTGAAGCGCTTTTGACGAGCACAAAACAAGTACATAGACCAGAGGATATCGAATCAGTATGCCATGATTGACTTGATGCCGGCTATGTGCAATACGCCAGTACTCGTACAGCATGAGAGCCTCCATCATGGTGCATTGATTATTGCTCCATTCTCGTAAATCGGTGCGGTGCTCTGCCAACGGACGAGAGACATGCCTCGGTAGGTAGCCTATTTTGCCCTAGGTTCTTCTTCTCCCCACGGACGAGGGCTCACGGCCTTTGGTGCTTTGATATTGATCTTTGCCTTGCTTTGGACTTTGGTAAACCCGGTGGATCCGGCACACCTTCAACTCCAGCTCAATGGCACTCTCTTCAACGCACGTCCTGTTTCTGCAGCTACCAACTAGCAACTCCGACAAGTCCACTTCAAGCTACCAACTGGTTGATGAATATTGCTGCTAGGTACTAGGTAGTAGTAATGGGAACTCAGCTTCTGGCTAGGCGTCCTCGTCTCCGTGCTTGCCCACCCGCTAGCATTCTCGTCTCGCGTCTAGAAGCAGCAAGATTAGAAAGCTGGAGCCAAGGTGGTGGTTGGCGGCCACGCCACTTTGTTCAGAGTCCCTCCCACTGGTGTACTCGTACCAAGGTGGCAGCATGAAGCCACAGGAAGCCAAATCTTCGACAGAGCGTGCATGAATTAGCGTTGATGACGGAAAAGACCCAGCACAGCAATGGCGCCAAGTCGGGCAGGGCCCTGATGAAAAAGTCTACTGGCTTCTGCTTCTTCGAATTTGGCACAAACGGCGCTCTCTCCACCACCACGCAGACCTTGGCCGATTCGGGACACGACGACAGGGGATCGCATTGAATGCTCTGGCAGGGGTCCCAGCAGCGGAGCAGAACCCGGCCAAAGCGAACGGCAGGGCCATGCGCCTTGTCCGGGATGCCCTTCCTTTCCATTCTCTGCAGCCTCCGTCATGCAAGACAGGGCAATCAGGCCATCCATCGCTGCTCGTGGGCATGTGCTTCCGCCGGCGACAGCAGTAGCATCGTGTCTATGCGCTGGAGATTCCCGCCGGCAGTCTCTGCGATTTGGCGCCCGTGTGCGTGTCTGTGCCTTTGCCAGTCTGTGTCCGTGCCCGTTCTTGCACATGGCTCTCCCCCTCTGACTCTGTCTTGACCTCTGAATGACACCGCCAGCATCTGACGCCTCTCTCCTCGTGGTTTGTCGTGTGGAGGTGCATGTACGTTTAATCTCGCTCGGACCGTGTTGGCCCGGGATCTACAGCACCCGAATTTCCCCAATCCAGGTTGCAGGCCTGGGAAAGAAAAAAAGAGGGAAAAAGAAACGAGTCGAAAAAAGAGCCCTTGCGTGTGCGGGCCAGTGTTCGATTGCAAAAGCTACGAGTACCTACCTATCCGTATCCCCTCGCCTCTCGCTGTGCCAAGTGAGGATGAGCTCACCATGCGGGAACCAAGGCCAACAGATTAAGGTCGGGTACCATTCAAGGTACCTTGTTCCTCCATGCAGGTACCTCGTCAAGTTTTCAGGGAACCGCTACTGCAGTAAGCTGCTCCGACCAATTAGCCAGCGGTTGAACCAGCGGCCTGGGATGCGGCACTAGGACGTGACGGTGCAAATTAGATGGGATTTGCAGCAAACTTGAATTGGAGCATTGATGAGTCTGCAGTACCTTGCACTACGAGTACGGTAACCTGGCAGGTACTCGTATATTGGCAATCTGAGGTACCCACAAGTTCCCAGTCCCTCGTGGTGCTCATACCCACCTGTCTGCTGTCTGTCAGTACTCGTACCTGCGCAGAGGTACTCGTAATATTGCGTGCATGTAATGCCTGCTTAGCTTGAGCTGGAGGCCATTGTGATCACCAGCTGACCCAGCCTGCTGCAACGCAGGAACAGGCTTTGTTAGTCCGGGGTCGTTGCTGGCTTACAGCAAAGAAAGAAGAAGAAGCAGAAGCAGAAGAAGAGGAAAAAAAAAAAAGAGCATCAATGACTGGCTCCAAGCTAAGAGGGGAACAGGACAAATTGCAGGCCCCCTTTTCTCGGTACCTCCAGGTACACGCACAGGTAGCTGGGAGGTACCAGGCCCTTCCGAACAGGCCTCATCGCGTCAATCTCGCCTGCTTCTCTCCAAGGCATGGGGTTTCGTCTCTTTTCCAATTTTCCTTCTTTTTTCTTTCCCTTTTTCCTTTTTCCTTGCCCCTCTCACCACTCCTCCGGTCTCACAGTGCTGTTCAGTCGGCCTCTTTGTTTCCTTTCTCTCCGTCTCGTCTCGTCTCTTTTTCTCTCTCTCGCCCGCTCGTCCAGCTCGTCCAATCCTTTCAGCCCGTTGTTGTGTTGGGCCTTATCCAAGCATCTCCCTGATCTGTTCTAGCTGGCCCAATTCACCCGTGCTCGCTAGCCACCAGTCTAAGCACCTGTAGGATATCGCCTGCCTCCGTCCCGATCTGGGCACAGCGTCTTTTCACCATCATGCACACGCTGTCTCCGCCCTCTGTCCCTCTGGCCCGCTACTAAGAGCCATTGTCGAACCAGGAGCTCGAGCTGGAAGCGCATCTGCGTTGCACTATTTCTTTTCCGATCCTACTCTACTCTACTCTACTCTGCTCAGTACCAGTACCACTCGAGCCGTACTTTTACTTGACGGAGCGCCTTTCTTTTCTTGTTCAATTTTGTTTTCGTTACCTCATCCTGCGTCGTACCTGCACCCGATTGCTGCGTTCTTCGCCTTGGTTCTTCTGCGCCTGCATCTGCATCTGCACCTGCATACCTACTCGTACAATACAATACGCCATTCTTTTCTTCCCCCCACCGCCAGCTTTCCACTCTCTTTGTTGTTTGTCGCTCTCTCAGAATCTCTTCACTTCCCTCGACTTCCCTCAACTTCGTTAGCAACTCCCGCCGCGGGCGCCTTTGAAACAACCCACGCCTAAAGCCACTAGTCAAATGTCCAAGTAAACTTGCGACATTGCACACGCTCCGATTAAGATTAAGAGGCACTTGCTGAAACACGCAAAGAGAGCCACGCTCAGCTCCAAGACATCAATTATCGATTTCTAGCTTGAGTTGGTGACCCACCACTGGTGGTCCTCGTTCTCCATGTTCAGTCGACGGCACAAGAGTCAGCATCACGTCGACGGCCGCAGGAAGAAGCCAGATACTCTATCAAGTGCTCTGGGCGACCTGGGCCTCATTGCCAGTCCACGGTCATCAAAGTCGGCCGGCCCTCGGTTTAGGCCTGAAAGTAGTGCAACGGATGCTCCGTTCCATCTCGAGGGTATGCATCTCACCTCCCGCCCCAACCTTATATACGCCCCCCTAACTACAATGCGTCGCGACTCGTTTCCCCAACACCCCCCCTCTCCCACTTCCACTTCCGCTTCCACTTCCTCCTCCTCCGTCTCCTCTTTCCTCCACCCGACAATGACTGTTTGCCACTTTCAATTCTCTTCAGCAGAGTCGCTAACTTTGACCTCCTTCAGGCCATTCCCCTAGCATCCCAGCCTCACGCAGCACCGTTTCTCTCCAGCGAGGGCGGTCTGCGAGCACTACCAGTACCGCTACCGCTACATCTAGAAGAGTAGGCGGTATCGACAACAACGTCATGTCGAGCAGCGCGGATCGAGGCCGCATGCGGCGGGACAGGACATTCGTCGGCAGCGAATGTGCCGTCTGTGAGGAGCCGCTGGAGCACACGCTGCGAGGCGAGCGAATCCTACAGTTCTCTTGCTCCCACGTCTCTCACGAAGCCTGCTTCTACGAGTTCATCCGCGAAATGGAATCACAATACTGCCCAACCTGTGATGCCCCGCTACATCTTGACTCCAGCCGAGGCGGCAATGTCCTGGACATCAGTTCGTCATCTAGACGCACGGAAACGCAGAAGCATGCCGCTAATTCAGACGTAGACAAAATCAGCAACATGGTGCGTACTGCCGGCACCGAGTCAAGGGCTGGCACCGTCACTCCTGCGCCCACCTGGGAAAGCCAGGGGGCGCCCAGCGTAGATACCCAAAGGCGTCAACAGTTGACGCACACTCCGAGTGTTGGCAGGACGAGCCAGCGCGATGTCAGGGACAACAGCTCAGATCGCTATGCTTCTACGAGGCATACTCGCAATGACAGCACCGGCATGGCCTCGTCTAACGGCTATCCTGAGACCGCACAGAGCGGCTCCCAATGGCGCCACGACTACGACGTCCAGACAATGGAGACGACACCTAGCAGCCCTCGTGCCGCTACCAGAAACCCTATTCCCCCGCCGATTGTTACCGTTCGCTCCGAGTTTCCTACCGTCAGCAGGTCTCGCCAGCAGCAGACGCTCACGTGCCTCGTTACCATTGAAGTTCCTGACAACAAATGGAGGCCAGACCCCGAGGATATTGGCTCGCCGGTGCAGTCGCAGTTGGCTGTTAACCCGGGCGTTCCTGAGGTGGCCCCTCGCGCTGTATCACCTGCTTCGACACCGACGCCGAATCCCCCACGTTTCCATCCTTACGAGTCCCCTGAGGTTTTGGAAGAAATGACGGAGAATCTACGAAGTCGCGTCGATAACTGGCATGGATTAGAGTTCAATAGATTTGGGCAGCTGAGACTGTGCGGCACGTTACGAGTGGGCAAAGATAAAGTGTCATGGCAGGAGCTCGAGTGTTATCTCTTCTCCGAGATGCTCATTTGTGTCAAGGAGAAGAAGCTCCCGCCCCACTGGGATGAGTCGGGCGGCCAACGAAAGCAAGCTACTCGCTGCACGCTCAAGGGCTCCATCTTGATCAAGAAGCATCTCAATGACGTAACGGAAACGGGAGCTATCGACGAGAACGTCCTTACACTCAATCTCTCTGTGCTCGAACTGCCACAATTTCATCTCAGGTTCGACAATCGCAATCAGCTTAAGCTATGGAACCAAGCTCTATTGGATTTGAACGCTGTCGATTTTGCCCCTTCTCTTCGAAGCCCCGATCTGGACCGCGGAGAGTTCTCTGAGAATGACGAGGACGGGGAATGGGGCCGAGCTGGCCAGCAGCGCGTATCCTCCATTGCTTCTTCCTGGGGCCACAAGTCCGGCACGACGGCACAGACCGAGTATACCAATGTGCCAAGCAAGACCATTCGCCTCCCCAACGCTGTTCACGTCCCGATCGACGTCGTTGTCGTTGTTCCCATCTCTTCGTCAATGCAGGGTGTTAAGATCAACCTCGTCCGTGACGCACTCAAATTCATGGTCAGCACGCTGGGTGAGAGGGACCGCATGGGCCTCGTCACATTTGGTTCTGGTGGTGGCGGCGTGCCAATCGTCGGCATGACCACCAAGGCTTGGCCCGGTTGGTCCAATGTCCTGGGCTCAATCAAACCCGTTGGTCAGAAGAGCCACCGCGCCGACGTGGTCGAGGGTGCCAACGTTGCTATGGATTTGCTGATGCAGAGGAAGCACAACAATCCCATTGCTACCATTCTACTCATCAGCGATGTGTCGACATCCGACGCCGATTCTGTGGACTTTGTCGTCTCTAGGGCAGAAGCTGCAAAGTAAGTTGAAATATCCATCACAGATTCGCCTATTTTATGGAGCTAACCAAGAGGCCGCCGCATAGGATCACCATTCACTCCTTTGGGCTGGGAATGACCCACAAGCCTGACACAATGATTGAACTCTCGACGAGGACAAAGGCATCGTACACATATGTTAAGGACTGGATGATGCTACGGGAATGTCTGGCCGGGTGCTTGGGCAGCATGCAGACACTGTCTCACCAGAACGTCAAGCTCAAGCTCAAGCTCCCAGAAGGATCACCTGCCAAATTTCACAAGATCAGCGGCGCTCTGCAAATCACCAAGCGGGCAACAGGGAGAGACGCTGAAGCGTCGCTCGGCGATCTACGATTTGGAGATAAGCGTGACGTGCTGGTTCAGCTCGTCATCCTTCCGGACACCTCTTCTCAGGAGACGCTTGCTCCGGACCCATGGGATAACATTGTCTCAGGCCTGGAGGCTCTTGGCGGGTCGACAGATACCGATACAGAGAGAACCCTTTCGGTGGAGGAAGTGCCACTGATTCAGGCTGATCTCACCTGGGGTGACATCTTGAGAGATGGCACCACAGCTCAGATGCCACGACCATCTCTTCTAGCCATTACCATGCTGCCAGCATATCTTAGCCAGAAGAATAAGTGGCAGAATACGCCGCCCATCCCCCCGCACCCCAGCGTTGTCCAGAGGCGAATGGAGCTGCTCACCTCAGACATGCTCACGCGTGCCCTGACTCTCGTGAGCCGTGGCCAGCACGACCGCGCTCATACACTGTTGAACGAAACTCGTTCCATCCTCAAGGGCCTCGGCAAAGGTGGCTTGCCACCTGTACCTCCCAGCAAATCGCTACCTTCGACACCGCACCCAGGCAACGATGGATCTCCAGCATCCGGAACTCCAGATCGGAAGCGCAGCCCTTCGCCTACGTCGGCAACGTCCTCCTCTGGGAATGGCCCGCCTGCGCTTGGCCCTCCCCCTCAGCTAGGTCGGTCGCGATCCACCGATGGACTGACACTCGGCGTCGGTATCGACGCTACAACGGTCGCTGCTCTCGATGCTGAACTCGAGAGCAGTCTGGAATGGATCCAACACCCTGCTGTGTTCGGCCGCGACAGTCGTAAGGCGGTTCTCCAAGCAATCGGCGTTATAAGCTCACAACGTGCCTTTACGTCGCGGAGCCCAATCGAGAGTCTGTGGGCGACCCGGATCGGTGGCATCAAGCGCCTTGCAGAACGCAGCCGGGAGTGGCGAGAAGAAGGCGGCGGTGAGGGCGGAATCACTGAAGAGGCATGATAAAATGGTCTCTTGGTCATGAGCGAATGACACTCTCGTACGTTTCGTTTATAGCATGGCCACGGCGTTTGGGACTGGCTTTTTGCTTTTGTTTGTTTGTTTTGCTTTTGCCTTTTTTTTTGGGCAAAATTTTCCACGATCTCATGGTTTTTTTCTTTGGAAGATTATTCGGATTCCCTTGGAACGTCTCAACGTATTCACGATATTTCCTTGCACAAGATGTCTTATTTACCGACTTGCTGGTGATACCATCAAGCTTTAAAAATCTATGACGCTGCAACCTTTTTCCCTCTCAAAAGTATATACCCCCTCAAGGCACACGCACAACACACACACACACACACACACACACAGTCTCTCTACCTTTTTTTATAGTGAGAAACATCCCTCTCGTGTTTGTTTTCCTAGCTTGTTTCTGGTCTTTTTTGGTCACGTTTTCTACCCATCTTAATTTTGCGATGCAAGATGGTACCCGTATATACGAGCTCCCAATCTCAACGATATCTTTGGAAGCGAAAAAGCAATCCGCATATTGCTTGTTACTGTCATTTGATCGCAGCTCTGTTAGACCTTAGTGTTTCCTTGTGTCTTCTCTTTTTTTTTCTCTTTCTGTTTTTTTTTCGGAATGGATTGGATTGGAACAATGGAAGAGAATCTCGGATTTTCTTTGGGAATACTTGGCAGAGAGCAGGTTGTGCATTAAACAAAGACGCTGATGTGTAAGATACATATATTTCGATTTGCATGGTATCACGAGGAAACACAGGAATGGTTGGAGGCCCGATTCTATTCGAATGCTAGATAGTTTTGTGATTTTATGCTGAATACATGTCTGATAAGCCCGTCTTTGCTAGATGCCTTTCTTGAGTGCTCTTTTCCACACATGAATATCGAATAGACAATGCTGATGACAGCTCAACTTGTAGTCAAAAAGGACAAACCGAGAATTGGAGAATTGCCAGACAAAGGAAGATGTGAACATTCCATCCCCATTCTCGACCCTTTTCGTCGTCTATTCGAAGCCACTAGTTCTTCTTCTTCTCAACCGGGTTCGCAAGGGCATCGAGAATCTCCTTGAAAGACTGGACAATCTCGTCGGTGTGCTTGTCTTCCCACTCCTTTCTCGTGGCCTCGCCCAGATTCCCCTCCCCAATGGCGAGGAAAGCGTCGGGCCCAACTCCGCCGGAGAAGGCAAGCTGGGGCCTGGTAGCAGAGACCCTGAGGCCGACGCCCTCGAGCGAGCCCTTGACCTGCTCGGAGGCGATTTTCGCGCCGGAGATGCCGTAGCTGACGATGGCGGCGGGCTTGCCGTCCCACTCGTTCTTGAGGTAGTCGATGGCGTTTTTGGTGCTGCCGGCGACGCCGTAGTTGTACTCTGGGACGATGAGGACGTAGGCGTCGTGGGAGGCGATCTCGGCGGACCAGCGCTTGGAGTGGTCGTGGATGAACTGGCCGCGGGCGGGGACGTTTGCGGGGATGACGGGCTCGTCGTAGACGGGGAGCTTGAAGGTGTCGAGGTCGACGATGGAGAGGGTTGCCGAGGAGGAGGAGGCGAGGGGGGTGAGGATGGAGTGGACGAGGGAGGCGACGTGGGGGCCGAGACGGGGGGTGCGGGTGCTGGTGATGATGATGGCGATTTTGGAGGCCATTGTTGGAAGATTTTGTGTGTGTGTTTGTGTTTGTTTTGTTTGTTTTGTTTGTTTGGGTATGAGTGAGTTGGACTGTGTTGAGGGAGATGAGACTGTGGGTTATATATATATATATATATATATATACAGCTCGTTTATATGAAGACGGATGGTGATGTGATTATACAACAGACGCCACGGGGACTCTGAAACTCCGAGGAACAATTACGAGTAGAGGGTGATACAGAAACACGACTTTCACGATCCAAACTTTTGCCTCGCTTGAGATTTCCCACGGTGAACATGAAGACTCATATTTCCGATGTCCAAGTCCATGATCAACCCCGTATCAACTCAGCCAAACATGTCTCTCTTTGCTCTCCTTGAGCGGATCACAGCGTTTCGCCCAAATCACTAAACAACTGCCCTTCAATACGCATAGATTAAAACCCATTGTATTAGAGTCGCTCTGGCATAGCATGCCGAGTCTCCAAAGAAAGGATCCCGGCGTCGAGTTTCCTGATTCGCCCAGCCCCGAACAAGAGTAAGCCCACAATCAACGACGCTTTCAACAAGCGCGCGGGATGGGAATATGAAAGATGGAGGAATGCAAGTAAATTCAGCGATTCCTTTATTCCGTAGAGAATAGCAAAGTGAAATCCATCGTTTGCTGCCTTCATGGACATGTTGGCTCCGGCGTTGTCGTGTCTGATTGGCTGTGTGTGCTTTGTGCAGTGTGTTGTAATTCCGGCCATGTATGGGGCCGTTGTATATCCGCGTATGGCTCGGTATTACCAGGATACAATGGAATTAGCACTCCGTTTGCTTTCGGTGACGGTAGCCGGGCGGACTTGCGATTGAGTGCCTGGCGCTTTCGTTTTGTTAGTCTCGTTTAGTCGAGAAGAAGTGACAATTCCAAGGGTTGGATTGCATCGTCCGCAGTACGGGAGCTGAGTCGGAGTTAATTCCTATACACTCTGGCGTCTTTCCATGGGCATCACAGAATTACGACGGCTAGTCTAGAGCTCTCTTTCATTAAGCAAAGTGCACAGACATCAGATTAAATTCTATCGTTTTTTTCTTGTCCTCATATTACATAGCCTGCCTCAAAATGGTCCCGGATATCTATGCTTTTACATGCCCTCCTCAACCTTCCCTCAACCGTATCCCTTACGCAGCCTGAATCCATTTAGTCCTCATCCCAGTTCTGTTGAAAAAGAGTTAGCAAACAGTCGTATAATGTTCACAGGATAGAGACCCAAAACTTACAGGGTTGGGGCCAGGAGGCTTTGGCCCACCAGCCTGTCTCGCCACAATGATTTGGTCGACTGACAGGACCGTGCGGGCAGCCTCTGTGGCCAGCTTGATGGCCCAGCTCTTGGACGCCAAAAGGTCGACAATGCCCTCCTTGGTTGCGTTCAAAACACCGTTGCCCTCCTCGTTCTCGACGTCGACGCCGGCATCGCCGCTCTCGCTCTTGTGGTGGGCAGCATACAGTGTGCTGAGGACCTCGGTGGCATCCAGACCGCAGCTCTCGGCCAGGGTGCGGGGAATGACCTCAAAGGCCTCGCCGTACTTCTTGATGGCATACTGGCTCAGGCCAGGCGTCTTCTCGCCCTGTGCCTGAATCTTTGCGCTCAGTGAGATTTCCGTGGCACCGGCTCCGGGAACCAGTCGGTTGTCCTTGGTGATGGCCTTGACAACGTTGACGCCGTCGTCGACAGCTCGCTCAATGTCGTCGAGGTGGTTCTGGGTGGCGCCACGGAGGACCAACGTAGCAGTGCGTGTGACTTCGTCCTCTTGTCTGAAGACGGTGACGCGATCGCCGCCAATCTCAATCGTCTCGACAACGTCAATGCTGCCCATCTCGTCGGGCATGGGGGCACCCAGCCGAGCCAGCGGCGTAGCGCCGACGACGCGGCAGATTCGTCGCAGCTCAAACTTGCTGAGGATTCGGATGTAGAGAATGCCATATCGGTTGAGGTAGTGTGTGGCCAGGTCGCCCACTCGGTCACCGCACACGACCACGCGCAGGCCTGAGTCGTAGAGCTCCTTGATTGCCTTTTCCAGCTGTGCCTCCTCGCCCTTGGTGAAGTCCATCATCTCCTTTGCGTTGTGTAACAGCACGGTGCCCTTGGTCTCTGTCTGGCTTGTGTCGATGGGGCACGTAAAGACACCGACCTTGGCGCGGCTGGCCTTCTTCACCGACCCATCGGGCTCCTTGGGGAAGACCATGCCCTTGACGACCCTGCTCTGGTCCAAGCTACCACCCATGATTTTGACGACTCGGATGTTGTCGACGTTGAAGTTGGCGGGGTTCTTGGGCAGAACGGCCAAGACGGCCTCGGCCACCAGGCTTGACAGGAACTCCTCGTTTCCGTTTTGCTTGCTGGCGATGACGGTTCGCAGGGCCTTGCTCAGCTCGGCCTGGTCCTCAATGTTGTCCACCTTGTCCACGGAGAGCTCCTCCAGGGTCTCCAGGGCAATCTTCTGCGCCTTTTCGTAGCCGATGACAATGTCGGACGTCTTGAGGCCCATGCGCAGCAGGTCCTCGGCCTTTCGCAGCAGCTCTCCAGCCAGGACAATCACCAGATTTGTGGCGTCACCCATCTCAGCCTCCTGTTGCTGGGAGGCCATGACAAGCAGCTTGGCAGCGGGATGGACGACATCGAGCTCGCGGAGGATCGTGGCGGCGTCGGAGGTGAGGATCATCTTCTGCAGGTGGTTGATGACGACCTTGTTGCGGCCGTAGGGGCCCAGCGAGGTCTGGACGGTGGAGGTGATGGTGCGGCAAGCGTCGATATTCCGCAACACAGCTCCATCTTCTGAGTCGTAGCTAGAGAAGGGCGAATTGCCTTGTCAGCCTCTACATCTGGTGTGCTCTGGCTCGTGGCTCGTGTCGTGGGTTTTGATGGAATGGCATGGCATGGCATGGCATGGCATGGCGGGGTTGGCAACTTACTTGTTGTAGCCCTTCTTGAAAAGGCCCGAGTTGGGCGCGTTGGGGATGTTGAGCGACATGACGGGTAGGATGAAGATCGAATCAAGTCAAACGAAGAAGAAGAAGAAGAAGAAGAAGAGAGAGAAAACTGTAGCTTCGTCGACCCGCCCAGACACTACTACTATAGAGTTTGGGGAGTTTGAAAATCTTGGGGGACGTTGCTGGCAGCCTGGGGGGGCAGTTTTGCGGTGCTTGGCCAATCATAGCTGCTTAGGAAAGGGTGTTATGTATTCCGCTTCCCAACAGCTGTGCCCCTCCATGCGATTCTATGGAGCACCAAGTGTGAGAGGAAAGGCTAAAGGAGAAAAAAATAGGGGGTCGATAGAGATGCAGCAATGGGGAATTGGGAACGGACTCATTATCTGTCTCGGTATAGACATGGTTGGATTTATTTGGATAAACAAGTAAACCGGATAATTAAAAATGATTCGTCCTGGGAGGAGGCATAGGTACAGAACAGCTACATGTGATCTAGCAGCAAGGATTACCTGTACTTGGCGAGGAAAGCCGTTATTGATAATCAAGACTACCAGCACGTTGCTCGCCATCGACATGTCTTGAATGCTTCATGAGCACCGCTGTTGATCTTGACAGCAGTAGTCATTACGAAAAGACGAGTTTATCCATCCTCGGGTGTGCCTTTGAATTGATGGTTTGGCGACATCAACCAGTTACTAAATTCAGCATCCAATTGCCCATCCCGGCCAGGTACAAGCAGGTACTTTAGTACTCTCCAGCTCTTCTTAGTGGCCGCACCCGCTGAAATTCGCAGCCTCGCAGCACTGCCCAAAACCCGGCCCCTTGGCTCCAAGATCTCATCATCTTACACCTCCCGTCTTCTTTTCCTTGCATCTCCCCCCATAGACCAATTAGATGAAAATATAGTCTGCTGCAGTTCACCACGGCTGGTCGCGTTGTCATTGCTCATCTTTATTTGCTTTTTATTCGCTCTGCACCCTCTCTTTTTGCTCCCTCTTTCTTCTTCTTCCTCGTCTCTTCTTCCTCTCACTTACAACGTTCCAATTGCTCCTCCCGTATCGCTATCGCACGCGTTAACCCGCGCCTTGTGGAGCGTTTCTTCCAAAGGTGCTCGTTTTCTAAGTTGCCTTTGCACGCTGTACTGCCTACCATTCCGTAGGTGTTTGTCGTGACCAAGCCACAGGTACATTGTACATTGGCGCGCCCAACTTGTCCATTGATTGACTCGGCGCATCGCTTCCAATACGTACCGCAACCCATCATCATGGCGCCCCAGCCTTGTGAGTCCTAAGCCTTTCTTTTTTTTGTTTTCCCTCCCTTCAACAACCCTTCCAATCTCGACAATTCTGCCATCTTTCGTCCGCATCATTGCCGTGCCGCGTCAACGTGCGATCCCGAGACCGACCGCCAGCCGGAGAAAAAGTCGCCAATCTCCATCTCCATCTGTCGTCGCATCAAACCGCGCCTCGCTGCGTCCGCCTCGCATCCTTTTCCCATCTTCTCGCGACAAAACAAACTCTTGAATCCTCGCCCGAACCTCGAACCCTCGCCAACTTGACAAACCGCCAACAATGCCTGCCAAGAGAAAATTGGTTGCCGAGGCTAACATTGAGCCAGCCAGCGTGCCATCGACGCTGCCTCCGTCTGTCGAAGAAGCCTATCGACGGAAGTGTGTCCAGCTCAAGAACCGCACAAACGAGGTCGAGGATGCCAACGACGCCGCCAGGCTCCGGCTCTCCCGCATAAAGCGCCAGGTCGAGAAGCTGAGGATAGAAAGGGCCTTTCTGCTCGAGCAGCTGGCCAAGCGCACCAGCACAAATGTCGAAGACTCCGAGGGCAGCCCCAGTCCGCCTCCTACGGTATGCTTTCTTCCTCGTATCTCTTTTTCTTCTTCTTACCTCTTTTATCGTTGTTTACGTTGATGCCACCCGACTTGGTCGGGTTGTTCCTCTCCTCCCTGCTTCTTTTTTTTTTTCGTCTCCTTTGTTGAGATCGCGCGTTGCTGCTGCTTGCTCCCTTTCCTCCCCACCAAACACACCTTTTTTCAGTGTTGATATTTGAGTGTAACGAAATAGGCAACCTCCTTCGATATCCCCATTGAATCGAATGCTAACCCCCGAAAGCCCAAGGATAAGCCGCTGCGCATCAAGAAAGGTCACCGGAAGTCCAACGCTCCAGCTGACGCCGATGCCAAACAAGGCTCCGCAAAGGAGCCAGCGTCTCCAGCGTCCGAGTCCAATAGCCAGGCAAAGCGCTCTCGCGCCAACGGCGTGTCCAAGTCTTCCAAAGAGCCCAAGACTGCTTTTGAACTCTACTGCGAGGAGGCTCGGCCGGCACTTGAAGCCAAGGACAAGGAGGACAAAGATGATAAAGATGATAAAGATGACAAGGATGACAAGGATGACAAGGATGACAAGGATGACAAGGATGATAAAGATAATGCCGATGTGAATATTGACGAAGAGCTCAAGCGTGACTGGGATGAGCTACCGGAAACGGAGAGGGAAGAATACCAGGCCAAGGCGGACCAACTGAATAAATCCCAAGAGGAAGACGACAAGGCAGCCGCTGATGCCGACGTCGAGTCTCCCAAGAAGAGCAGCGTCAAGGCCGAGCCCGAGACTGAAAAGCCGGAGGCTCACGACGACGATGTTGAGATGAGCAACTATGACACTGAGGACCAGGAGACCCAGATGGACAAGGACGGCGACGAGTAAACAAAAGAAAAAAAGGGCGGCTACGCGGTTATGGGACGGGCGACGGCAGATCATGGTGCGGAAGGCGTTATTTACTTCCATCTTGGTACAGGACAGAGACGGGTTTGCTTTTATTTTTATTTTTTGTTGTTGTTGTTGTTGTTGTTTTTCTTCTTCTTCTTCTTCTTTTCTGCTTGGGGATTTCTCCTTCCTTCTTGTTTCTTCTCTAAACGGTGCTGTTATTGCCAGGGTGCATCTGTAATCTGGGACGTTTGGATGCATGTACATTAAAGTAGGGTGCTTCTGAATTGCTACACGGTGGACATTGTCATGACTCTTATCGAGATGTTCGCGTGCAGCCTACGTAGAGATGAATGGGAATGGTAATCACATGTTCAATGGCATTGCGCTGTTATGCATTGCTCTCCACGATTAGAAAATACTATATCAAAGATTCGCTTCCTCCCAGCCATTGACGCCGCCCACCTCCATAACCCCATTTGCTACAGGGATAAATTAAAATGCCCAAGGTTAGAAGATGAAAAAAACTCCATTTCTCCCGCATGCAGATTCACAGTCCATTGGTTTCCAAGAAAAAAGAGTCTCTAAACTGCTCCGCTCAAACTTCTCCCGCATACATATCGACAACAATGTTGATCGCAGCCACCAAAATCTCCATAGCAATCAAGATGATGACTAAATTCAAGCTGGTCAGCATCCATCTATGAGCAGAAGTTGGGGGGGGTTAACAGGAAGAAAACATACCAATCCATTCGAGCATTTCGCCGTGGCCATGGGTTAGCTGATCCTTGAGAACAGCCAACAAGTCAGCAATAACATCCAACCGCTCCGTCACCAGGCCGACTCGTTGGTCCATCTCGAGATAGCTCCTGACAGCTTGATAGAGGGGCTCCAATTGGGGCTCTACCCAGAAGAGCTCGGGGGTATCCAAGACGGAGCCGTTGAGATGGATGTTGATCCTCAAGATGAAGAGCTCTCCAATCTGCATGTTGATTTGTTTTCGGTTCAGAGCCACTTTGCCCGTCAAGGCGATCTGAGTGGGAATATCCTTGCAGGTGTCGATGGTGGAAGCAATGAGTTCTTCGAAAAGTGACGTCTGTTGATCTTGTTAGTCCACCGCGCGCTCTCTCTCCTCTTTTTTCCCCAAGTCAAGTTCATCTTACCTTGACGCTCTGTGCCAAGGCATGTGAAATGGCAAGCTTGGTCATGTAATTGTTCTTGTCTCTCAGCGTGATAAAGTCGTTGTAGATCCGTGCTTGATATTCCCGAGTATAATAAAAGTTGAAGTGCTCCGTCTCGACATCATCGGGAGCCAGCTTCTCCAGTTCGAACTTGGCAATATCTTTGAGCATCTTGGCCTCTTGTGCCTCCGTCATGCCCCATATTACCACCACACCATAATCGAACAAAAAGACTTCGGGCATGTGTACCTGGATATCAAAGTCCGGCACCGTGTCTTTTATGGGCATGTGCTCGGGCATAGCGGGACCCAGAAGCTCTTCACTGGGGAGGTCCCCTGCCTCCTCTCGGCTTTGGTCAATCATCAGGCCCTCTCCGTAGCCAGAGTCTTGCTGATCACGACGCAGAGGCCTGAACTCTTCTCTCTCGGCCTCTCCGTCTACCAGCTCGCTCCCTGTAGAATGGCGTCTTTCGTGATTTGGCTCGACAACCTCATGGGCTCGCTGGCTTTTGCCGTACATGTAGGGCGTGTATATACACTCGTCAATGAGCTTTGGGTTCGCGCCGCGAGTCTTGCCTCGTCCTTTGAGGAATCTCATCAACCCTTCCATCTCGTAGCGATTGGCGGTGCAGTACGCGGTGACGCGCGGCAACCGATCTCGATCTGCCTTTCCGAGCCGCGCAGCATCTCTTCGCGCCGTCGGATCCTTGATTCGGGTATACTGGGAATAGACATCCCTTCCGCTTTCCTCATCTTCACCTTCGTCTCCGAAATCTGGGTTCGGCAGCAGCTTGAGCTTCTCCGTCTTCTTGGTGCTTCTCTGGGGACCAATCTTGGGCCCCTGTATCGGCGCAAGCGCAGGGACGAACCCCTGGCTATGCCGCCTACGAATCTTGTTATTCAAGGCTGCCAGCATTGGCGGGCCAACGACGGCGCTGCTGCCGGCCTGATGGTTGACATTATGAGAGGCATGGCTCCTTGGTAGGCGAGGAGGATCGGGCTCGATGGTTCGGCTGACGGGGTTGGCGCTGAAGGTGACTGTTCGTACAGGCTTTGGTCGAGAGGCATCGGACGCGGGCAGCAGAGGCGTGTTCTCGCCAGCGCTCGTGTTTGCAGTGTCGGAAGAGTCCATTTCGAATGCTAGAGGCTGGAAGTAGGAGCTGGGGGATGAAGCAAGGGCTGCAACGGCTTAGACAAGTCCCACCGGAAGAAGGCTCTCTATCAGCGAGGAAAGTAAAGATTACGCCAGGATGCCAACAACAGGGTTATTTCCGCCTAGGTATCAAGGAGGACGGCGGCATTGAGAGCGATTGAACAGGTGAGCAAGGGATAGATGTTGTGAAAGAAGTTTGTGCGAGCAGAATGCTGGAGGTTTGCTCTGTATTGCTGCTCGATGACGGAGGTCCGTCCAATTTTCCCTGGCCAAATTCGGCGAAAAGCGGTCTGGGCCCACTCGGGAGCCTTAGTGCTTGTAACCAGCAGGTACTTCGTACTTGGCAATTTCATGTGCTCAATGTGCGATTACGGAGTACGGAGTACAGTTGGTATAGTGCACGACCCGCTTGAGCTTCGTGCAAGAGAAACACGAGCAGATCCAATGGGTTAGGTACTTAACCGGGCTATGGCTGCATGTGAGAAAAACATGTACTCGTATTCATCTCTACAAGTTCCTTGCAAGTAAGGGGTTCTTTGGCGGGCAATGTCCATTGAAACAAAGAAGCTTCCTATGTTTGGAAATGCTAGTTCTGGATTTGGAGAATCCTAGCAGCAATGCTCAATCCTATTGTTCCCAGGCCTCTCGACAAACCTTGTGTATTATTAGCGTCAACATCCCGCTTGCTACTCCAAAACAACATATCCAGGCACTGCCGCTAACAATCTCCACTGATTTCTTCTCGTTGACAGTCGGCTGCTATTTATGAATACGCGGATATTATTCAATGTCCTCAAACTACAAGCCACCCACCAATGCGCATTTCCTCTTATACTCGGTCACTCTTAAGAAAAGTACAGGGCAGCCCCAGCACGACTCATTTATGCCGAATTCGCGTCTCCATCTTGAAGCCTCCCCTATGAGCTCGGTCAACAATGCCCTGCCCAAGACAACAAGGGGTATAGAAGCCTCCATCGAGCTCAAGATCATCCTCCAAGACTGTTCGAGCAGCCTCGCAACATAACATTGCCGTCACTGTAAATATCGAATAGTCAGAAGCTGGTTCAAGGCGCACCATTTGCTGGGGTCGGTATTGTCCACTTACACGAATACATGCTACCATAATACCATGCTCGACAAAAGGCTTGCCTATCAGCAGGCAACTCCGTATCCGGGTTCGCAATGCCGCGCCATTCAACCTCCTCCTTCTCCATTTCATCCTTGGACGGTCCAGTGCCTGGTGCCGGAACGAAATACCGGAACAGAGTCCTGACAGGCTTTCCGGTAGCTACCAGAAATACCCCAATGACGATGATCCAATGGACGATGACTCCATACAGCCAATTGCGAGGCCTGTAGCATTCCGCCCAATGGAAATTGGGCCCGTAGAACTCGTCTTTCCGGCTTGGAATTTCTGATAAAAGGCCCCATGAGCGTTCTACTAATCCTTGGTCGGCAGCACTGGTAAAGGCCGTGGTGACGGTTCCAAGATTAGGCACATAGTGGACGCCAAATATCTTTTGCCAAATGGAGGCATTGTGTCGTTTTGGCTCTCCCGGATGGGGCACAGGGGATAAGGCAAACGGTTTTCCAGACTCTGCCAGCTCACTCAGGGTGAAGTGATCGAATAAGGTGAGAACAGTTGAAACCGTGCCCCCAGAGGGAGCCGCTCTGGACGTAAAGCCTTAAAGTAAGCGCAGGTTTCCGATAACACTGCATGACAGGAAATGAAAGAGTTCAACTTACCGCAGGTTATGAATCGAAATAATAACATCTCTTGTCATGGCATTCAGTTGCTTCTGGAGCGTTTGAGCCAAAGACCAGGTGCACAGATCTGCTGGAGCAGACTCCAATCCCATCTGGGAGATGAGAATAGCACCGCTCTCTTTGGCAGACTTTTCATACTTCTGAATCATCCTATAGACCCACGGGGTCTCACCAGTTACATCGAAGTAATGTGTACCGGCTTCGGCGCATGCTTTTACTGCATACTCTCCATGAGCGCTATACGGGCCGACAGTTGTAACCAGGACAAATGTCTTTTTCGCCAGCGCACTCATTTCGTCATAGTTATCCACTCCCGCCGTTTCAATTGCTGTTTTCGTGTTGTCAACTCTGCTCTACAGAAACCTCATATCATAGTATTGGGTGGTAGAATAGCTGTAGACGAACCTGGAGGGTTTCTGTCCGAGTTCAGCTTCTTGCAGACATCGACGATTGCTTGGAGCTTTGACTCAGAACGACCGGCAATGGCCCATTTCAAATTGACTGGGAAGTTGGCGGTAATGTACTCGGCTGCCAGGCGACCGGTATATCCTACATTGCTGGTGAGCATTGGTCTGCATTGAATTGCGCCCCAGCCTAAGCATCACATACCCGTGGCTCCAAAGACAACCAAGTCATACTGGCGATTGTGCTCTTTGAATGACATTGTGGGTGACAGAGTGTTGCTAGGTGTTTAAAGAGGGACAATGGTCACTGGATGATGGAATAGACTGCAAGGGTGGAAGGTCTGGCAATTTAATGATGCTCACGGAGATGAAGGGCATCAACAGGGCCAAGAACAGCGGCATGTGCAGAACAAGCGTACTCAAGTTCAAGTATGTAGTAGCTAAATCCAGTTCTATTAAATATAGTAAAGCTATACTTAGATAAGGTAGGCACAAAGTAGATTTGACTCTAGAAAAAAGCAATGATGCTCTGATTCCATTCCAACCAAGGTCACTGCCTGCAGGTCGCGACATGTTGATGAAACCATTCGCTCATGGCCAAAGCCCACAGTAAATCATCCAATCCAAACACGCGCAGCGAACACGATGAAAAAGATTGGGGAAATGGACTAACTATGGGGATGACGGAGATGGCGGACTGTGAAGTCACGTGAGATATGAAGGTCTTATCGATAGCCAATTCAAAAAGAAAAAAAAACAGTGGTGGGGCTTCGCTTGGCCCGTCGCTCACGTGCGTGCCCTAAGGAAAATCACAACTCCAGCTTTCCAACACATTTTCGTGAGAGCAGCCTCCAACCGAAGTCAAGCAACCAAACATCCCCATCCCTACACATATCCGTCAAGATGACCAAGCGCACCAAGAAGGTCGGCGTGACGTACGTATAACCTTTTGATGGAACAAACTAAACAAACGAATGTCTGCTAACTTGTTTTCAGCGGTAAATATGGTACCCGGTGAGTCTCAAAAGATGCACAACAATTCCCATCCCCAATACGACATATCGATCCCGAGCCCGACGAATACGAGTTGTCAATTGTCTTGCCACGGCCTCTGTTGCGCTTCCTCGCGAAAGTCTTTCGGATATACTCGCTGTGTCTAGGGCAACCTCACGAAACTTGATCTTCGATACTCGAAACTATGACAAGCGGATGGAACTTTCCAGATGAACTAGCAACTAACGCAACCGGTTATAGTTACGGTGCCTCCCTGCGAAAGCAGGTGAAGAAGATGGAAATCACCCAGCACGCCAAGTACACCTGCACCTTCTGCGGAAAGACCACCGTCCGAAGAAAGTCTACCGGTATCTGGAACTGCCGCGCCTGCAGCCGAACCATTGCTGGCGGTGCCTACACTGTTGCGTATGTTGCCCACAAACCACAAGACGAGCCTGGACAATTCCACGAGCGCGCCGCTCCCCCGGAAGTCAATACTAATGTTGCAATGTCTACAGCACACCCGCCGCCGCTGCCATGCGATCAACTCTGCGACGATTGAGGGAGATTGCTGAGGTTTAAGGTGTTTCTTGGTAAAACGGTTGAAGGGGTTCGGCTTTGCTTTTCGGTCTGGTGTATGGGGGACATTGTTTGCGTGCATACACTACGTTGACGAAAAATGAACGTCGACGCTCGATCTTTGGTCATAGACACCGGTCGATAGGCAATGAACAAAAAAGAAAATTGCATTATCTCGGACACCCCGAATTAAGGAATGATTTGATGCCATGGATCCCAGCGCCTTGTGAAGGGCATTGTGTCGGCTGGATAATTTGCTTGGCCCAGCTCGAGTCGATGTTGAACGTTGAATTGTCGCCAACCGGGAGGCAATGATTATGCTCGCCACTCTGAGGAGAGATGCACACAAATAACATGATTCGAAGGCGACTCGGGCAGACGCAGCTACGTCAGTGCACGAACGGCGCTCACTGAGGCTCTCACGTCTTTTCTTCTCTTCTCTGGTAGCAGGACCTCCACATCGACACCGGCTTGGTCCACCAGACAAAAGTCACAAGGGATCCCATTGTGTCACCTTTTGAGCAAGAGTCACAACCTGCCAGCAAAGCAAGTTTTCACTGTAATGATTCCGCATCTCACATGGCAGCAACCGTAAACGAAATGGACGCTCCTCCGCAGTTGCGCCCCCATCATCTCCTAGCACGTGAACTCTCCCACTCTAGATATTCATCAGAAAAGGCGTTGCCAGGTAGAAACGAGGAACGATGCAAAGCGTGCTAACTCAACTTGTCCAGGTGCTAGCAACGCCGGCATGGCGCAGTTGCTTCGTATCCATTCACGGCTCATGGGATCAATGACGAACGGGGTTGGAGTGGGGATTCCCGGCGCTTTTCTGGTCCCCAATGCAAGTGGCATCACACTGCATCAACTGATTAACCCATGGAGGTTGATTGCCTGCCTTTTGGTATATTTACATGTGGCCGTCGTTACGCCCCGGCAGAGAGACGAGTCGAGGGAGGATATGCCGTGGTTCCTTGCATGCAACGGACGGGGCATGCACACAAAGGACTCTCCAAACTTGAACTTGGACCAAGGTATAATAAAAATGATGAGTGGGAAGGAGTATATTTACGAGTACTATATGTACTAAGACAAAATAAAACTTGAAAAACATGAGAGACAAAAAACGCCCCAATTCGTAGTCCCGGCAAATCCCCTCCAGGGCACACCCCGCTTGGCCCTGGGGATATCAAATATTGCTCCCCTTCAGATTGAATCCAATTCTCTCTCACACACAAAAAATCCCCACCCCTGATTATGATAGTAGTTTTCCTATCAGGCATAGATATGAACGCCATAGTGCTCTCTTCTCTCTACCTACCTATCGTCTCCCATCCCGCACTGGCAGCGTTCCAATTTGAATCTCTGGTTACAGTTGCACGGGGTACTGTATACAAAAGCACCACCTTGGTAGCACCACCCCCGGCCATGCTCCCATCAGAGATGCATTCCGCCATGTAACTTTACGACATCCGGAGCAGCAGGTGTATTTTGCCTAGTGCCGTAGCAAGGCGCATGCATCCCATCCAAGCCAACCCGGATGACTTCCAATAAGGTACTAATGTGCCTGGCTCACGGCTGGGCTGGGCTGGGCTGGGCGGTAGAAGTATCTGCAGTATATCCGTATCATTGATGCCTGTAGGTACTGAGCAGCTGCCCCCAGAATGCTACTGCTACCCCTTGGCGGCCATGTCCCTGCGTTAATTGCGAATCGCATTGCATGTTTCATCACCACCAAAATGCACGCCGGCCTCGGCACGTGAGACCAACAAGCCTAGCCCAGCCCTTTTCGCGCAAGGCATCATCCGTTCGAAGCCCACCGGGGAGGTACCGAGTAATACGGCGAACCGAACCTTGCAGGTACTTTGCAGCAACTCTCGAGGTTTTTTTTCTGCATTGCTGTACTTGCCGTACATCGAACAAGGTACCTTGGCTTGCTGCTCCCGTGTTTCCGCCTCCACTCAACACCTTGATGTCTGTCTGTCTGTCTGCGTCTATCCATGGCATAGCTTAGACCATAGCTTGGTACCTTGGTAGATACTAAACAGGTACTAGCAATATAATCGCCATGTCCAACATGTGAATAGGTACCAAGACAAGGTATTGGAGCGTCTGGCATTGCAAAGTATCCGCTCAAGAGGCACTGCTGCAGCGGCAAGGAGCGAAGGAATGCGCGCGTGCTAATGGCGGATATACGGAGCACTGTAATCTGCACTTTTGCACCTTGTCTTCCTCGTCTGAACGTACTTGTACCTACCGATTGACCCCATAACACGCACAGCCGTTTTGCCTCTTTCTTGCATGGCTTCATTTTTTTTTTCTCTCTCGCTTCCCTTGCGGGCTTCTAGAGGTCTCGCTTAATGTCTGTACTTACCTTAGTAGTAAGTACTCTACCTGGACTTATTGTAGTCCTATACCTCGATACTTGTAACGCCCAAACAAACTCCTCCTGACCTAATACCCCAACGGTACATGTAGCCTCAAACCATCCGTGCAGTTGACATGTTTTGGGTTCCTGCTTGGCTTCCATTCCACATTCCCAATGCATTCTCCGAATCACGTCGTATCGGCTCGGTGCTGATTGATAGCTGATACGAGGTGTGACGTCCGTCACAAGGCAGAGCCTCTCTTACTTGCATGGTAGCACGGAGCACACGGCCTACCATGGGAGGCGGAGGACAGAAAACCCGAGACTGACAAGATTACGAACATCCACACAATGAATTATACACCATTTCTTCAAGTATCTGCAATTACATCTGGTATATTTCTCTACCTGTAACTGCTACGATATCTACATTCCTCCGGTACTTGATGAACTGATTGGGTGCTTATATTGCTTAATGTATGCACTTATTCAGTTTGTGGTCTCGCTTTTTCTGACCTCCGCTTGCATGAAACCCAAGGTACTAAAGTTAAGTGAGTACCTGCACACTGTTTTCAGCGCACTTGGACTCGCGTGAAAAGTAGTACTACTACTAAGGTAGGTACTAACCTGAGCTTAGGTACCTAGGTACACACGTACATGTACAGATAGATGGGTAACGTCTGTGCAAAGGCCAGGCCCGGAGAAATTAAAAGTTCATGTTGCATGGGAGCTCGACACTTCCTCAAGTCACTCCAAGACACCCTAAAGATTCTGTCTCCCTGCCTTGGGAATGGCATGGCAGAGCAGCGAAAAGACTCACTCACTCATTCACTCAGCTCGACTCACTTCTCCGTCCTCGTGCAGAAGGGAATCGAATAACCAAGTCCCCCACGCTCACGCCCGGAGTTGCCCCGTAGCCGGCTCTGGCTCTGACTTCTGACGCTCACGCTCACGCTCACGCCGAAGAAGAGCAGACAGAGAGACATTCGCATCCCCCTCCTGTGGCTCCATCTGCCGCCACCGTTCCAGCATAGCATCCAGCAACGGCACGCTCAAATCAATGACAGGCGTGGCTGCTCCAGCGCCGTGACTTCGCTGATTGGCCCCCCGCCCAGACCCCTAACCGGCCTGCGCTAGCTTGCCCAGAGCCCGCCTTTTCCAGGCTGTCTCTAGCTGAACTCTCCCTCTTGCTCTTCCAGTTCAATCCTCACTGAAGGTGCCTGGACGCTCACTGTGCGCGCTACCCACCAAACAAAAGCACCGCTTCCCACCCGACCTGGTACGAGTACCAACCAGCTCGCCCGCTTCACCACTAATACAAACCAGACCATCAAATCATATTAGCCTTCATACAAACCCAGTTTCTCTCGCTGCGGCACACGCCACAAACCGCCGTTTCCCACGTTTCAGAAGCCAACCTGCCTTTACCCTTTCCTTTATTTTTCTTTTTTTGCTCCATCGGGCACTGTTGACCTCATTGTCTTTTTACATGTTTCCATCAGTTACTGGCGTCTGTCATCACACCCGGCATCATGTCTGAGCCTGACCAGTGCATCATATGTTTGGATCCGCTGCCGCGCCCCTCGTCCTCGACTGAGAGCGTCCAGCCCGCCGTCGACGTCGACACCGCTACAGCTGCCATCGCCGAGGCCGTCGAGGGCGACTCCAGCTATCTCAACATCGTGGCGGCTCTCGATGGCTGCGATCACATAATCCACGATGCCTGCATCCGGTCCTGGGCCCAAAAGACCAACACCTGTCCCATTTGCCGCAAGCCCTTTCACTCTGTCAGAGTCTACAACGGCCAAGATGGTGAGTTAGTTTGGCTCTCGCAACCCCTCTACCTCGTGTGCACCGCACAGATTTACCCCCCTACAAATACTGCTATATGGTGCAGCTGCTGACTTCTGGCTGGCAATTCTGCAGGCATCGCCATTTCAACCTACGACGTCGAAGACAAAAAGCAAGTGGCCGAGTTCGACGTGCAGCAGTGGCTTGGAGAGAACCCAGATGAAGAAGAAGAAGAGTCCAACCCGTGCCCCATCTGCAACTCGGCCGAACGAGAGGACATCCTCCTGCTCTGCGATGGTTGCGATGCAGCTTACCATACGCACTGCATTGGCCTCGATTACATCCCCGACGGTGACTGGTACTGCATGGAGTGTGCCCATTTGTTCGAATTGACGGACGACCGTCCAGAACCGGAAGCTGCCTCGGACACCGTCCCACGGCCTCAAACCGCTCGCCGTCCAACCGGTCGAGCGAACCGAGGCTTCAACGTCCGCACCCGCGCCCGTCTCAGGCGGGCACGCCGCCAGGCACGCAACATGGAGTGGCAGGGCGCCTGGGGCCAGTTCTCCGGTCGCTTCTACGAGATGAGCGAGCTTGACCTCGATAACCACGACGACGAGGACGAAGATCTTGAGCGTTTCCGCAGGTTTCAGCAGCTGGATCGACGAGAGCTGCAGCGGTGGCAGCAGCGGATAAATATTGCACAGCGGCTTGGTGCGCGAGAATCCTTTGCAAGCAACATACCGCCACAGATTAGCGAACGCCTCCAGCCCTCGCTACCACCCGTGGAGGAAACGCGGGACGAGCGGCGTGCCTGGGGAGCGCTGGATCGTGCTCGAGAGGCCGAGAACTCCAGCCCAAGCACCCGCAAACGAAAGGCTCGGTCTGTAACGGGCTCACCCATCGAGCAGCCGGCCCAGGAGCCCGAAAGAAAACTCAAGCGGCCTCGAACCCGACGGCTCCCAACTCACGGGGAAAGCTCTGCAGCAGCCAGTGCTCCGGCAGCGGCCGGTCCGTCCTCGGCAAGGGCACCAAATGGGACTTCTTTGAGAAGCACCAACACCACCAGTGCTAGCCGGGACGATGCAGCCGAGCCAACTCTGGTCGTCTCTTCCTTGCTCAAAGAGCTGGAACCCAACATCCATTCGGAGGACGAGGCATCTGCCACAGCCTCTGGTTGGCGGCCCTTCCACGAAGCATCATCCCCGGCTCTCTCTCCATCTCCATCCGCATTCAGCAGCCCACGGGCTCTTTCACTAACACCGCCTCCATTACCCAATCTCAATGGACGGCCATCGTCTCCGACTCTCTCTCTCAGCACACACATCGAACCAATATACCCACCTGCGAATTACTCACCCACCCGCTTCAGCAGCAGCGACCACAGCGACTCCGAATCGCCGCCAATAAAGCTTGAAGTCCGTGGCGGCCGAAGCGAGAATCGACTCGAGAGTCGCCCTCTAGAGCTTCGCCAGCCTCGGCCTCGGCGCGCGCACGAGATGTCGCCAGAGTCCAGCCCGACACGCGGCGGCGATGACAACTCCATGAGACACACAATGACGACTGAGGAAAAGAAGAGCGTCAACGACATCGTCCGCAACGCCCTGAGGCCGCACTGGCGGGCTCAGAAGCTGACGGTTGAACAATATGCAACAATCAACCGTGATATATCACGAAAACTTTACGACGAAGTGAAGGACGCGTCCTCACTTGATGATGAATCTCGACGACAAACATGGGAGAAGAGGGTCACCCAGGAAGTGGCCCGGGCAATCTCCGAACTTCAAGCCTGATCACGGGTGCACAGCAATAAGCATTTGGTCTGGCGTTTCAAGGCTTTTGTCGGCGGTCCATATCATGGTTTGATACCCCCAGCCTCATTGACGGCGAAGTGCATTTAGTTAGGGACACCGAGGTGTAATAGGAGTCGGGCATTTGTTTTGTAGTTTTGGTCATATTTGGGGGGCGCCTGTCGATAACTGCTACAGCGCATTGCGATTCGTGCTTTGAATATGTATCGCGCTTGTCATACATATGGATGTCTTTTTTCTTCTTTATGTGGGCGGACTTCTAGGGCTTAGAACTAGTAGTTGAATGAGATATATAGTTCCGAATCAATTTCGATCCCAGCCGAGGTATTTCACGGCAAGGAGGTTGTGTGCACCTGATTGAAGAAACTTTAGTCAACGGGTCCTGAAGACTCAAGAGGAGTTTTACCGGCATATATTCAACAAGGAAACCAAAAGCCGGTAGCACTTCTCATGAGGTTCGGTGCCATGTCTTTGCGCCCAGTCGATGAAACAAAGAAAGGCGAGAAACGGAGGGAAATCGAAAACTTTCATCGAGTGATGAACGATTCTGTTTTTATTCGCTATCACGACAAATGGCGACATGAAACGGAAAATGGAGAGCTGGAAACGGGAGAAACGGGAATAGCTTCATGGGAGAGTCAGTGCAAATGGCGGGGTGGGAACACTAGGAAAAAAGCAAGAGGAAAAAAGGAGCCCCAAAAAAAGGCTCCCATTTTGGATTTGGTAGCAAGAATGTAAGCAGTATCTATCTAACAGAACCCAGTAGGAGAAGAAAAGAAGGTGCCGCTAGCGAAAAAGACTGCATTCTATCTCTCTCGGCACACGAATAAATGATCAGGACGCTGTGGAGGTGGAAAGCAAAGTCTTGACGATAAGGAAATGGTGCCTTGGAGAGAGAAAAGAAGAGGGAAAAGAGGAAGAGGGAAAGGATTTTAAAGGTGGGAATTAACTTGGTTGGCAGTGCGGCTTTGCAGGTGGTGGCCTGAGGCAGCAGTTAGCTTAGTAGGTAGAATAAACTGAAAGTGTCTGCCTTTTCCAGAATTTATTACATAAGTAGATGTTATGTAAGCCGATTCGTTCGTTGGTGGGATGAGGTACAACCAAAAAAAGTTCGAGGCGCAAGACATCACGACAAAAGGCCTGGCGCTGCCCCCTTGGGTTTTATAGAGCAGCCAGTCCGGATTCCGCCATGATGGCAGCCTCAAGTAGAGGCAGCAGAGCCGTTAGAGGCATCTTTTCATGTAAGCAATCACTACAGCCACCAATTGAGTCAAAAAAAAAAAAAACTGACCAAGAGTTCAGCTTCTTCCCCCACGTTGTGCTCCAGATGCGCAACCACCTACAAGACAGCATCATCATCCCGGTTCTACTCTGCAGCCGCAACTACAGCGGAGACCAAGGCACCCGCTGCCGACGCCCCTCCTCCTCTGGCGCCCTCGACCAAGACGCCGTATCCATACGACGTCCGCTCCGGCCTCATCCTCACACGGCCGCCGCTGCTGACGAGAACTCTGCACCCCTTCGAGAACGCCTTCTTCTTCTACCAGAAACGGCTGGAGGAGCGCCTCAACACGCCCTTCATCACGAGCATATACTTCAAGCCCGACACGGCGGCGCAGCTGGACTGGAGCCTCAAGGTCCAGGAGCGCGGCGGCACCGTGGCCAAGGAGCTGGGCACGTACAAGGGCAAGAACGCCGACGCCTGGGACGACGAGCTGAGGGTCGGCGACGGTCTCAGCGCGCAGGAGACGGTCCTGGAGAGCCTCCTCAAGGACGCCGCGCCGCGGGTCAGCGACGATGCCGAGGTCATTGCGCCCGAGGACGTTGTGCCGGTGGAGAGGCCCGCGGAGAGGTTGTCTGAGGCGGATCGGAACAAGGACGTGAGGCGGCTGGATCGCCAGATGGAGAAGACGCTATATCTTGTTGTCAAGGGGCCGGATGGATGGGGCTTCCCTGCCGATGTTCTCAAGGACGAGAATCTCCACGAGGTAACGTTTCCTTTCATATATATATATATATACGATGAGAGATGGTTCTAACATGAGTAAATCAGGGCGCAAAGAGAGTCATGGACCAAGCTGCCGGCGTCAACATGAACACCTGGCTCGTCGGCCGCGTCCCCGTCGCCCACCTCGTGCAAGAGCCCGTCCTCGGCGCCAGCGGCCAGGTCGAGAAGAAGGGCCGCAAGACCTTCTTCCTCAAGGGCAGGATCATGGCGGGCCAGGCCGACCTCAAGGGCAACCCCTTTGGATACACAGACTTCAAGTGGCTGACGCGGGAGGAGCTGGAGACGGAGCTGGCGCCGGAGTATTATCGCGGCGTGAGGAATATGATGGCTGACCGGTAAGGAGAAGAAGAAAAGGAAAGGAAAGGAAAAGGAAAAGGGAATGTGTATTACGACGATATATAAAAGGGATGTTGAAATGTCGGGATTTGTAACATTATGAATTGTATAGTTTACACCATTATACAGAGCTTCACTGCGGCTGTTGGAACTATCTATTGCTTGTGCTCATTTTGCCTTGTTACTCTCAAAAGAGACTTGTCAATATCTTCGGCAATTCAAAGAGGCACTTTCACTTATTATCAAGCCATTTAAAACACAAGGAGCGTTCCGTACCAAAAAAAAACCGGCTATATCAGCCAAAATCGTCATATAATGGCCAACCCTTCAGCCTCGTCTACCTCGACCCTAATTCCAAGTCTGGTTTCCGAGGCCACATCACCCCAGAGTTTTCATCATCTTAAGTAATAATCTCCCCCACCACATTAGCCAGCATTCATTTCTTTTCATAACAAGTTATAGCAATAGTAAACCAGCCCTTCCAAAAAGCACAACACGGGTGACCGCTTTACCCAACGCCGCTACGCCGCTTCCCGATTTCCAGATTGTCAAACACAGTCCCGGCATTATGTTCAGTTTCGGCCAAAAAGCGTCATGCTGCCAAATGTACCAGCACACGCTCCAATTTAGGCTGGTTTGGCTTGTCCCTCGACAAAGTTGAGAGCATCTTCCGTGCTGACACAGTTGATGGAGCTCGTCTTGTTGCGGAACGTCACACCATAGCACTTGTCTGCAATGTGAACAATCTCGGGTCGGAAAGTGGTGCAGATAAACTGGGTACCGGCCTCGTTAGAAATGGACTCGAGAAGCGAGGCGACGGCAGTTCGGTATTGCGCATCCAGATTGGCGTCGACTTCATCAAAGATGACCATGGGACTGCTTTCGGTCTGCTGCAGCGCAAAGATGAGGCAGAGAGCACACAAACCTAGTAAGGTGGAAAGTTAGTGACAAGGCACAACATTCGGACAACCAGGGGGGGGGCTTACTCTTCTGACCACCGCTGAGCTGCTGAATCTTTTGTTGCTCATCAAGATGCTTGGAGTTGAAAGACACGCTGATACCAACACCAATGTAATTCTCCACGCTTCCTCGTGCTTCTTCGTCCGACTCTTCAGCGTCTTGACGGCGATCTGTCTTCCTTTGGATGACTAGACGGCCGTGGCCGGCCGGCACAAGCTTGCTGAAAATGGTGGCAAATTCCTTGGACACCTGTTTGAAAGTACGCTCAATGGCTTCATCCTTTCGCCGGTCAAGATGCTCCACGAGCTCTTCAATGGATCCCTGGGAATCATCCAATTCCTTCCGGCGCTTCATCAGCTGCTCTTGCTGCGTCGTGAAGTTGTTGTACTGCTCAAAGGCCTTTTTGTTGACGTGCTTGTACTTTTTCAGCGCCTCGTTGACCTTTTTCAATTTGGAGGTGATCTAGCGAGCAGATTAGTTGACTTTCCCCTTGTTTCTCTCACTCTACCTCATAGAGGAGGCAAGACTTACGGTATTGGCCTGCATGTTCTCGTATTTGTCAAAGGCCTCCTCGGGTAACACGCCCAGCTCCCGAATGTTTTTCGCGCATTCTGCAGCCTGTGAAGTCAAAAGAGCCTTTCGCTGCAGCGTCTTCTCCATCCTCTTCTGCTGCCTCTCGATTCTTGTGGAAATTTCCAGTTGCCTCTGCTCACGGTTGACCTTTTCAGATTCAAACTGTTCAAGGCGAGTATTGAGCTCGTCGAGCTGAGCCTCCGTCTGGCTCAAATCAGCCTCAACAGCCTTCAGGGCCTTTTGAGCCTTCTTCAACTCGCGCTCGGCCTCCTTCAAGCTGCCAGACGCGCCACCAACTGCAGAATTCTCAAATGCTTGACTGTTGAGCTGATCCAGTTTCATTTGGAGATTTTGCCGCAAGTCAATTTCCAACAGCTGCTTCTGTCTTTCCAGAATTCTGCGGTTGTTGCTGATTTCATTCCACTGTTTCTGTAATTGCTGGACTGTGCGGCTAGATCCCTCCAACTCGCGTTCTTCAGCTGTTGTAAGTGTCTTCTTGAAGTCTGTGCCCAATTCGGACTCGTGAGCTGCAACTTCCTGCAAGAATCCATTCATGTTCTTTTCAACAGCATCCCGTCTCCTGATGGCCCCATCAAGACGGCTCCTCTCGTTCTCAATGTGAGATGACCTGTTTCGGAGCTCGTGCTTGAGTGGCTCGAAGCCATCCTCAGCTTGTCGGAGCCTCTGCTCAAGTTTTTGAACTTCAGACATGGCGCCAGTGATCTCTTGGTCCTTGAGCTCAATCTGCCTGCGAATGTTGCGAGACTGCTCAATGAGGGCATCATACTCCTCTCTCCACTTGTTGGCAGCTTGTACAGCTTCCAGGCGTGACTTCCGTGGGTCGATGTAACCACCAGTCATGGCACCACGCTTGTTGGTGGTGTCACCCTCCGCTGTGATACCATCCACACCATGACTCCTGGCATACTGAGCAGCCACGGCAAGGTTGGGACATACGACAACCTTTCCAAATACCTGCTGGAACGCCTTCTCAAACTGCTCATCATAGTTGATCTTGCTCAAGAGTGGAACCGCATCGTTGGAATTTGGATAGTTTACTTTGCGTGGGCGAAGTTGGGCCAACGGCATGAATGTGACTCTACCGCCGCGCTGTTTGTACATGGTATCTGCGAGGTAGGTGGCAGTATCGGCATTGTCCACGACATAGTGGAACAAGCTGGCGCCGGCAATTTGTTCGACGGGTAGTCGATATGCGTCGCTAACCTCCAGCAGGTCTGCCAATGTTCCATAGGCACCCGGGATATCTTGTTCTTGCTTCAGTCGGCGTATAGTAGCCAAACCACGCGCGGTGGCTCCGTCAACCGCATGAGCCAGTTCTCGCTCAGCTTGCTCCTTCTCTTGCCGGGCATTAGAAATAACAGAGTTGAGTTTGTCGTCTTCTCGGCGAATCAGCTTCCGCTCATCGTTCAGTCTGTCCAGAGTAGCCCGTGCATGGGCCGCTTGGTCTGCCACCTCGCCCCTATCGCCACTCCAGTTGGCTAAACGTGAGCGCAGCTCGGCAACCTCTCGCTCGCCCTGCTCGATTGCCTTTTGGGTTCTAGCGACCTCCTCATCAGCGTCCATTTTGTTTGCTTTTTGGGTGCTGATGGTTAAGTTGAGGTCATCGATTTCCTGCTTGAGCCAAGCATCGCGCTCGGCGCGATTCTTGAATCGAGATCCGCGGCTTTGCTTTGCAAAGAGGCGTGATCGTGACGCCTCAACGGTATCCAGCTGCCTCCTGACCTCGTCTTCTTCGTTCTTCGTCTGCGTATATTCGGGAAGAAGCTGCGCCAGCTCTTTTTCCTTGGTCTTAATCTCACTCTGTACGGAGGCCAGTTCGGAAGCATGTTGTTCTCGAGCTTGTTCCAGTGCAGATTGTCCTTCTCTCAGATTCTTTACCTTGAGCTCAATCTTGGCGAGCATCTTTGCATTATCGCGTCTATCTTCCTCCTGCTGACGTCGATCAATTTGCAGAAGCTCCAGCTCCCTCTGCAGTTTGTGGATTTCGGCATCAATCTTGGAAATCGCCTTTTCTCCTTCCAGGAACTGCGCGCGGCTCGAATCTGTGTTGTCCAGGCCGTCTTGCCTGGCATTATCGATTTCCTCGAGGGCGGCTTGGACGGTGGTCTGCTCTCGGTGGTGGTATGCATATTCCAAACATCTCCTCTCTCGGTCCTTTTCCTGGAAGCCTCGCAGCTCTTCCTTTTCCTCTTCGAGCTCTGCCAGTCTCTCCTTGATATACTCAAGAAGTTCGTCAATCTTTTCTCGCTTGTTGTTCGTCTCCGTCATAATCTTGAGGGATTCGGCGCGGCGGGCTTCGTAGACTTGTGTACCCGCAACTTCCTTGAGCAGATTCAATCGCTCGGACTCTTTCATATTCGTCAAGGCGGTGACACGACCCTGGGGTACGATGTAGTACGGGTTGGAGCGTGAGAAGCCCGCTGCCTCCAGCAGGTTTGTGACATCCGTCTTGGTGACAACCTTGCGGTCGACGGAGTATTCGTCCTTTTTGAGACCAATGGTGCGTCGCAGCACCACTTCCTTGCCTCCGGTGGGGAATCGGTCGTCGCTGTTGTCAAAGATGATCTCAACGTAGGCCGACATGACGGCCGAGCCCGAACCTTCGTGGAGGAGACCCTGGCGCTCCTCACGGCTCATTTGCGTGTATGCATCGCTGAGGACGAAGCGAATCGCAGCGAAGAAGTTACTCTTTCCCGATCCATTGCGGCCGACGATGACGTTGGTCTTGGGAGAAAAGGGCTCAATGACGGTTTGGTCCTTGTAGCTATTTGAGAGCAGTCAGCACACAATGTGTGTCCCAACAACATGGCGGGGTTGCGAATCGGCACCTTTTGAAGCCTTGGATGATGATTTGCTTGATATACATGGTCGGCTGCGCGGGCGCCGGTGCGCAACATCCGAGAGACCAGGAAGCTGCAGACTTGAACTTTTTGCCGCGGGTTGCGCAGATTCAACGGAGTGCAAATGTTCTATGCGATGCGATGCGACGCGTCTCGTCTGGCCCGCGATTAATCAGAGACTTGGAGTCGCGTTGCACCAGCCCATCTAAGATTAGCGCCTAAAAAATCAGGTGTCGATGATAGCTCTGAGTTTAGGTACCAACTTGCTGCGCCCGAAGCTACTGGCGCCATCTACGGAGTGCTTACCCTACATCTCATCGATGAAAATAAATCAGAGCTTATTGCCATTATGCAACAGCTCTTTCTTCAGCTACTAGTAGTCGGTAGTAGGTAGTATATCGAAATTCATATATAGCGCTTCCTGTGTCACTGCTATTACAGTACTAATTGTACAGGCAGTTTTATTCAGCCTTTCTATATCTCGTTATAGAGAAAACACGTCAGCTGGGGCGTTGCTTGGACCAGGATAATCCACTCGACAAAGAATACGACATGCTAGAGTACGTTCGCATAAGACAATGACGGATACGAACAACCCATCGAACTCGATCCCTAAACATAGCCTGTCAAGCATGAGGCGCCCATGTTATCTTGCGCCCTGGTCACATGGCACGAGTCTACAACAGGTAAATGGAAATGCACCACTTACAGCGATAACCTGTGATGGGTCTGAAAAGCATCGTGACAGCGTGGTTGCTACCTGCCCTTGTAAAAACCACTACTACCTAGCACTGTAATCGGTAATATCTAATCCAATATGATTTCCCCCCCCCCGCCGACACAGTGATTTGCATCAAGCTGTTCTAGGACTTCTCCCGCTTGTTTTCAAATATTATCTAGCCTCAATTCTCGTGCTCCCATTAACTACCTCCACGCCGATCCTCCAAGATCACACACGCGACGCCAAAGTCGCGGACAAGCCATGGGCGACAATCGTGCATGACTGATCGTCATAGGCGGGTCGAAATGCAGAAACCAGTCTCCGCGAGTCAAACAAGTTGGGGATGGATGGCGTGTGTCGGACCAACCAATGCTGAGCAACAGGGACAATAGCGTCTCACGGCAATTTTAGATTACGGCCAAACGGGTCGATCTAGACAAGCCAGATCTGGCCTGCACCAACCAACTTTGGCCATGCTGTCTCAAGAAGACAAGCGGAGAAAAATTTTGCGACATGGCATGTCAGGGGTTGCGCTTTTGAAAATCATCGCACCTGCAATATACTCGTACACGCTCGTCGTACACGATTGGTGTCCTCATCCAGTACAAGTACTAGGTGGGTATATCCGGAAGGGATTGATTTCAATAGCTTCAATCCCATACACATTCCAGGATCACGCTGGCAAGCAAACCATGTGCGGTTTGCGTTGGTGGCCGACATGGTGGTGAAGGTGAAGCAAGCAGACGAACGCGCCTCACGATATTACCTACGATATGCGGGAGGGAACCAAAAAAAAAAAAACCAAAACAAAGCCACCCGAAGCATGGGTAAGAAGGGCTAGGAGGATCCGACATTTGCCGGGGGTGGGCGTCCGGGGGCCTGTTTGCTCTACTGTAGCAAATTCTCTTCTTACAAGGACCTTGAAGCCTCAGCTGCTGTGCTCCTCTTGCTAGTCCAGGTTTGCTGCAGTAAGTTTCAGGTTCATCTGTCGCTGTCCAAGTACTCATACAAGACGGAAGATGGTATTGATGCATCGTTGGCGCCCGAGATCAGCTCACTGAGAGCTGGAGGTACCTTGAGAAAATGGTGGTTCAGGTGGTCTCTTAATGTACGGCTGGCGTCCCGATTGATACCCTACCTACGCTGAGCACATCCATGCTGCGCATCGAGATTTGCACGCGCCTGTCAGGGTGTTTTGGCGGCAAGCTGCCTGAAATGGTCACCAATTTGGCGTTAGCATTTCAGCCGGCATATTGCCGTGTATCTCGAGATGCAATTGCATGCAGCAGTGCTGATGAGCAAAGAGCAAGTCGTTTGCTCCGTACGAGCCGCGGCTAATTACGCAAAAGGCGCGGAGCCAACAACAAAAGAAAGAAGAGGCAAGATTCCGCGAGGACAGAATTACTGTTCGAATAGGTACTCGTATACTCGTAGGTACCAGCAGCCCAGGGTCAATATTAGTACTATATTTGATAGAGGTACATTGCCTGCTATTGAGACCTGGTAAAAAGACAGACAGACAGGATGCAAGTACTGCAGCGCGCATCAGGCGCAGCAACGGGTCCAGTACGAGTACATCCATGATCCGTCCATCCATCACGGCGCTGAGGTATGAGTATGAGCGCACAGGTACAAAGTATGTGGTCACTGGCAACTGATGCGCTAGAGGCTTGGACAGGGCTCCAGCAATGGGGGACGTGGCCCCGCTTCTTGCGCGCTAGCGAAGCATTAGGGACATTAAGCGAGACGCCGTTGGTCGCTGGGACGGCGCAGCGTGTATAAAAATACAGGCATAGACATATAGAAAGCCCGGCCTGCCCTCCACTCAATTCTCCCCGTCCAGCCCTGCCCGACCATAGCCATAGTCGCATCCAGTCCAGCACCCGCGCCCTCGCCAGAGCACAAACCGCAGGCAGGCAGACGCAGGCAGGCAGACGGCGCCACTCCCACTGGCCAGCGCTGCGTTGCTACGTGTCAGGCGCTGCTCCGGGTTCCTGTTGCCCGAGGCAGCAGCACAGCTCAGCACAGCTCAGCACAGCTACGGGTGCTGATTGACATCCATTGATCAAATTCATCACATTGATTGATTGATCGGGTTGATCCTTTCAGGCACCCAGAGGTACATTACCCATATTTCCCCTGCACGCTCTGTTACCGCATCACACATCAGCTTCCCACCGCAACACGCTTCAACAAGCCTCATCCAATCCCACGCCGCGCACAGCTGCTTTTTAGTACCTGGTACACCCCCGGTTGCGACTGTGCTTTCGCGCGCCCTCATTGGCGTGGCTCTTTTTATATTCGGCGGATCCCCCTCGCCCTCAAAGCCATTTGATCCATTTCTAACCCAACATATCCAATAGTGTATGCGCCATTGAAGCTGCACGAACCAGCCTACTAGGTATATTCCCAGGTACCCTCTTACAGCGCCAGCTTCGGTACCTATAAACCAGGCGTCGCATCGCATCACGTCGCATCACTGTTTACTCGGTTGCTCAGTCGCGGCTGTTTGCTTGGCTGCATTGCCGTCCTTTCGGTGCATCTCACTGCATCGTCGGGATTCTCCTCCCAGGACGTACCGGCGCTGTGTCTTACAGGCAAGTACTTCCTCTCTGTTGTGTGGTGTTTATTCCTCTGATTGCGATTACGCCATTTCCATCTCACACATCCCTGCCCCTGCCACCCCGGTACATGTGGATGTACCTGGTATCTACCTACCTTATCTTATCTTCTCCCACGTCTCATCATCACTTCCATCATGTAAACGGCCTTTGCAATTCGCCTGTTTATCTGCTCTTGTTGCCCCGATCCGATGCGCTTCAACAATTCATCACCTCACTGCCACTGTTCTTCCAAGTAACACTCGCGCTTGATGATTCTGAGGCCTGCATCGCGCCGCACGTGCTGCATTGGCTGGCTTCTCTTATGACAGCTGGCGCTACATCTCGGTTCGGCGATTGACGATTGCTGCCTCGACTCCCTTGTTCACATCGCCTCAGCCTCAATACAATGCCCAACGCTGCACTTCTCCCACATGCATATGATGCACTGCACATGCACATAAGCAGACCACTCGGATTGATAGCCGGCTATACCGTCTCTGTCGACTACCGAGCGTGACTGGCATCAACCCATCTCAATATCTGCTGCGCGCGCGCCGCCGTTCCTCCCCCCTCCCCTCTTTTCATCTTCATCTTCACAATAAGCCCGCCAACTACCAAGTATGACGTGTGCTAACTAGAGATCAGAGCACCCGGCTTACTATGCCATGAGCCCCAATATACCATTCAAATACTACTTTAATACACGACGACGCCATGACTTCTAGGTATGTTTTCACGCTCCCCTACTTCTTTGGCAGTAGAATCAACGGCTAACACCTTTTTTCACAGACTTGACCGATTAGTTACGTAAGTTTCTTCCCCTTTTCCCCTTCTTCCCAGATCACGGAGTGGTCTTCAAGTTCTTCTGGTTCTGATAGCTGACACATTCCTCTAGCATCCTTGAGACAGGGAGCACAAGGCTCATCCGAGACACTGCAGTCAACCAGCTTGCTGACTGGCAAAAGCAACACCCCGATGAGTTATTCAATCTCCTGTCTCGGGTCATCCCGTATCTCCGCTATAAAGATTGGGAGACGAGGCAAACCGCGGCAAAAGCCATTGGCAAAATCTTAGAAAATGCCCCGCTCTATGATCCCAACTCAGGAGATGCCCCGAGTGATCCCAAAAAGGAAGAGAGCCCGTCCGAAAACAGTACGATTAAGAAAGAGGAAGACACCAAAGTGACTTCTATCCTCACCGATGACGATGTCTTCAAGTTTGAGACCCTCGATGTGGACACCGTTTTGAAATTCGGACGACCACTTCTACGGGGCGGCGGCATCGAGTACAGCCTTGCCTCCCTCGACCCTCAAGCTCGTCTGGAGCACCAAAAGAAGACGCTTTTGGGCCGCTTAGGCTTACTTGGGAGGAGATTCGAGGACGAGGAAATCATCGTAGGAGACGGAATACCAAAAACACCCCTCGATGCGCCCAATGGCGGGGGCCTCGGTAAAGGCGACGGCACGCAGCCCCAGAGCCAGCCGACGGAAGAGTCTCAGCTTAGTTCAAGGCAACTGAACGTGCTGAAGCGAAAACGCAAGAAGGAGGCAATGAAGGCCCAGGGTAAAGGCGGGTTCGGAGATCTATCATTGCGACGAACGACGACTGCTGGGTCTGAAGGACTGGCAGATGATACTCCAATGGCAGACGAATCGAAAAAGAATGGAAAAGTGAATGACTACTTCAACCTTGATCGCCCAAC